AATGACCTTGAGCTAATCAGACTATGACAGTCTCAGGTCCTTGGCCAGCACCTGGAATTTGTTGTTTAACAGTTGTTCTGCATGCACCACTGTCACACAGGAAAACTGTTGGGGTGTTATTCACATGTAAAGTTAATACAACTAATCCTTATTTGTGCATATTAATTATGTTTTTGATAAAAATCCTTTGGCTAAAATGCCATCAGAAGGCTGATAAATAGAGAGGAAAAAGGGACAAGAACAGAGGGACAAAACCTAGAACAAATAATGAATGTCTATTCTATTAACATTTCTCTATCTGTAGAATGGGACTGTTTTATAGGTTTTCTTGTCAGGGGGGGGCCCCCTGCCCATCCATGCCCAGGGCCCCAAATTTCCTAAATCCGCCCCTGCCTATAGACCATCATGACAGGAAAAAATGGATTTTCAGCTGGCCCCTGACCCGCCAAAGGATTTGGCAGCTCAATTAAAGGAAGCACTCAATTTCAGGTTTGGGTTCAGGGGCTGGCAGTGGGGAGATTAAGCCTCCCCCCATATCTTTTGACCAAGCCCCCACAGGTCCCCCAGAATGGGTAACCCTTGTGGAGGTGCTGGGCATAGGAGAATAAGCCGGTAGATTCTCAACTTTAGGAGCTGGCAAGACTGGGGCTGAAGCAGAAGCAGCAGCAGCACCAAGTTCATTTGGGTCTTGCTGTAAAGCTGCTTGTGCAGCTGCTTGTGCTTGCTGTAATAATGCTGAATATGGACCTACAGGTAAATCATCTTTACGATGGGTATGTGCAAGGGTATGGGTTCTTTTATTGTGGTTCTGCAGGCTCCTGTATCACACAAAATTTAACAGGAGTGCCCTGGACCATCAGAACTATTTCTGGTCTATAACATTTCTTTAAAAAAAAATCTTCTAGGTTTAAGACATCCATATTTTCACCCTCTATCTCTCTAATAGAAAATGGTTGATCATCTAGTCATGCTGAGCTTCCTGCTTTTGTGGTTTACTTTGACAGTGTCTAGCTATGTGGCCTTTTTTTCCACATGACCAACACGCTCTGGAATTATCAGTTGAGCGTGATCCAAAACCTCTTCCCCTTACACGGCCTCGGCCCCTACCTCTGGACTGCTGATAAAACACAGTGTCCTCTTCCTCCTGATAAAACACAGTGGATTCTTTATTGTGATTCTTTTTACTTTTTATGACTTTCTCTGCATGCAGGGCGTGATTTATATACTTTTGGAGTGTTGCACCACTCATCTCTATGTGGTGACGATTTACCCATTCTTGAATTACACATTCTTCCACATCCTTCTTTGGAGAGGGAATTCCTTCTACTGCTTTTCTTTGTCTCTCCTCCCTCTCTCTGTTAGCTCTGCACTCTCCCTCTTCTCTCTGTCCTGCCAATTTCATCCAGACCATGGTTTGCATGTAACCTTCTTTTGCCATCAAAGTGTCTTTATTTTTGCTTTTTGTTTTTATTTTTTGTTGCAATTCTTTAATGTTTGCGGTGCTCAATTTACCATTAAAACCGTAGTTTTTTATCCAGTGACACAATGGCTCTACCGCCAATGGGTCATCATTTTCGACTGCTTTCCAATCTTTGCACTGGAGTTTCTCTAATAACTTCTGTTTTTCTTTACTTTGCCCTTTTCCCATTTTGAACTAAATTTGGGCCCAGTGGGTTTTTAACACCTGTCGTGTTCTAAACACTGGGGCTTCAGACAAGATGGTGATCAACGACTTTTTGTGGTAAAACTCACTTCAACCCTTACAGGTGGAGTTTTCTTGTCTACAAACATCCACAAAAGCTCACCATTTAACCCTTGTCTTTTTGGTATGAAATACAGATATCTAGTGATATCTATATTTCCTTACACACGCACACACACACACACACACACTCACTGCGCAGTTAACTTTTACTTTATTTCTGTTTACTTATTTTAAACACAGAGGACGCCGCTATCCTATGCAGAATTTAACTAGTTTACAACTCGGGGAGCCTGCCCTTACAAACTAGGGGAGCCTGCCCTCCCGCGGACTTTAACTGTTTTAAAATTTCTATTTTACCTGATAGAGTCTAGAATTGTCAGGGTTTTAGTACAAAAGGGGGACCTCGTTACCCCATGCGGAATTTAACTATTTAAGATAGAGGACACCGCCGTCCTTCACGAGGTTTAAACTGTTTGCAAAGGGGAATCTCGTGACCCCACGCTGAGAGGACTTCAAAAGGGGAATCTCGTGACCCCACGCCCTTCACTTCGATCTTTTTTTCTTTTTTTTTATATTATTATATTTTTATAAATTTTTTATATTTTATATATTTTTCTTCCAATAATTCACTCACTCCTTATTAAAAGAAAAACTACTCACAATTCTCTGCGTCCTCGAAATGCTTCAACCGTCGGACCCCAGCTTGTAAGGGAGAGACCAGTCCCGTAAAGGGTCTCTTTGCTGCGGCCGCAGGCTTATCTGGATCTCACTCACCTGCTGGGGGTCGTCGGGTATCTTGCAATCCGGCTCGAAGGACCAATTAATGTTAGGTTTAAACACCAAACACCTTATTCAGCAACCTGCACAAAGAATGACACAGAGAATTTAGTATATTTTACTTGCAAGGAGAGGGGATCAGAAACTGCATTCAGTTACAAACTCCAAACCCACTCTGAAGCAGTATCTGTCCTCCAAGCTCTTTATTGAAGAAACGCCCTGATTACAATGTGGTTTCAACCGCTAAAGGGGGAGGGAACAGAACCCAGTTGAAACCAGAATTTTCGTACAACATCATACAACATCATACAACATCATAGGATAAGGAGAACCCCTCTCCTTATCTAGTTGCACAGTTCTCCATTCTCTTCCACACCCTTAACGACATCTGTTAACAGCAGTCGCAGTCAGCATCCCTCCTGCACAGACTTAAAAAACATTAATGACACAGCAAACAAAACTAAATGTTTTAACACTCTTTGTAATATGAGTAAGATAGAGATAACAAAATGTGTAAGTATAATATCATTAAAGTAATATAATTAAAGTAGAATAACTTATGTACAATTAATTAACCCAACAGTTTCCAAGTGTGAAGATGTTTCGCTTCCCGTCTGGGAAGCTTTTTCAATTCAAAATGTCAGAAATTGCGTTGAGTTTATAGAGGGGACCAAAAAACCCCCTAGGAATGGGAGACGTTCGGGTTTTTTGTTAGCCTGCAATACCTGATACAGATACAGGCTGCATTTTAAAGAAAAAGGTCTGCTCATATTCAGGATAAACACTTTTGAAAGTACTTCAAATATGAAATTATTACATCCTGTTCAATATCTGATAAGTGTTTTTAATTAAGAGTAATTTTCATTTACTGGAGGCATCCATGTTTGTCAAAGAACACTACTGCCACCTACTGGTTAGTGACGTCAAGGTGCGGTATCGGCTGTTGATCAAGTCCCAGTGCTGTATCTGGTGTTTGTCACAACGCGCTATTATCCAAGTCATCTTGAAAACATTCTTCTTCCAAATGTTGGCTACATATTACGGGTTTTTTCTCTGGCCAGAAGTTCGATGGCAAATCCTCCCTCTTCAAGTTGGCGATCCAACGGCCAACCCGTCCGTGGAGGATCAGGAATCAGAAAGGTGGAATAACTCTTTTTTTTCACTTTTACCCGATGTATTCCAGCATCCAGCTGCCATGCACGTGGGCATTGTCAGTTTCACTATAGCTCTGGTGAATTTTAATGGTGAAGTCCTCTGGAAATATGCTGGTGATTCTCTGTCATCCAAGTCATAGCCATTTCACCGCGCCGTGACGTCACTACCGGAAGATGTCAGGAGTGGGCAAAAATGGCCGCTCCCAGGCTCAGTGATCATGACAAAAATATATATATATTTTTTTACTGATTAACGCTAAATTCATCAAATCACCGCAAACGTATTAGTTTTAGATATACATATTGATCCATTGATCATTCCTTTGTAACCAGTCTTTTCCTTTAAAGACATTAAGCAGATATGTCTGAATTAGTTTGATTTTATTTAGCTTTAATAACCTGATGTTGGGTACATGTAAATTCAAACACTGGTTAGGTGTCAGCCGCTTTTCTTCAAGATAGCACTAGCATTAGCAAACCTGGCAGCTGACTGTCAAACAGAATGAGAACGGACAGACATACTGGCCAGGAGGAATTAAATTTGAAGCTGTCGCCTTTTCAAATTACAGGAAGAAAACAATGTTAGAAATTCACTCAGCTTTGATATTTATAATCTTGTTTCCGAGTTTAGATTTTTTATGAAATCATAAGCAAAACCACGTAATATGTTTTCCAATGGCTGCTCAGCGGCACAGTGGGTAGCACTGCTGCCTTGCAGCAATAAGGTTCTGGGTTTGATTCCCGGCCTGGGGTCTTTCTATGAAGTTTACATGTTCTCCCTGACCATTCTTGGGTTAGCCTGTGTTGCCCTGCGAAGGACTGGCGATCTGTCCAGGGTGTACCTGGCCTCTCGCCCATTGACTGCTGGAGATAGGCACCAGCCCCCCTTGGGATAAGCATGATAGAAGATGGATGGATGGATAATTGATGGTTATTTTACAGTAGCAGCCAATTAAAAATGGCCCTCCCCAGTCAAATGCCAGCCGAATGGCAGCCCACTTCCCTGTAACTCCCAGCCAAATCCCCTCCAACTTCCAGCCGCTGGAGTGACCGAGCTCTTGCATATTTTTTTACTCTGACTCCACCCTTTTACTGAATTATAGGTTCTGACCAGGAGATGATGCTTCTCTTTAGATCGCAATGTCCATAAATCATGACAGAAAGAATATTTTAGTACAAAGATTGATGTTTAAAAAGGAATTGTAGGAGACCAGCCAAGGACCAATTGAGGAAAGTTGGGAAATTTTAATAGCTACTACTGTACGCGGTTTAATGATGTAACTCTCTAAAAAAGAGCGTAAATCTGCTGAGGTTATGAATAACTTTACGTTTAGATGTCATTATATCTCTTTATCAAACCTTGAAGGAGTCGGACAATGTTCTCATAGATCTCAGTTGTTGTGTTGCTGCTGAAGGTCGTCTGTTGAGAATCAAGCAGTTTGATCCTAAATATAGAAATAAAAATCTAAAGTGAAACCCGGAAGACAATCCTCCAACCTTTTGACCAAAAGCTGTAGAGAAATTCTCACATCTCCTGAGTGATGTTACATCTCCGTTCTTCCCCCGATGAAAACAAGGAGGTCACCAGATTGGGAGAGAGGTCAACCAGGAACGGCTTCAGTCGGATCTTCAGCCACAGCAGGAACTCTTCATCACTGGCATTTCTGAGAACTCCTCATTTAAAAACACCCTGCAGGAAGGCCGACTTTATCTCCTGTGTGTAGTTGGTGGACTGAACCTGTAGGGATTGGGATTATTTTTTTTAACATCTGGCTGTGTATCATTGATGAAATAATTTTATGTAGATGACACAAAGCTGTATTAACTAGCTGTATTATCGTGTCATCATGTGACTATGAACCCATCCAAGTGCTGGGTCAACGCATAAACCAAATAGATGTGCTAAATTTTTCACCCTAGTTGAATTAAAATAAACTGTAAAGTGATATTTTTACTTCGATTTCTTGCTGGAGGAGGTCAAAGAAAAGACTGAAGTTGGAATCGCTGATGAACGTCAGGATTTTGTCTACGTCCTGCGTCCCGTTGAGCTGTGAGGGGATGGCGGCCAGCTGGCTCAGCTGATTGAAGGAGAGAAGATCTGCAACCTCCAACTGAAAGACAAATGGATTGTTCTTAGGTATGTAGGTAGGTAGGTAGGTAGGTAGGTAGGTAGGTAGGTAGGTAGGTAGGTAGGTAGGTAGGTAGGTAGGTAGGTAGGTAGGTAGGTAGGTAGGTAGGTAGGTAGGTAGGTAGGTAGGTAGGTAGGTAGGTAGGTAGGTAGGTAGGTAGGTAGGTAGGTAGTAGGGGTGTAAATCACATCCATCATGGCGATTCGATTCAGTATCGATTTCCTGACCCAACGATTCGATTATTTTCAATACTCAAGAATACACCACGATTCGATTCGATTAATCGATTAATCAGTTATTTATTTTTATTTATTTATTTATTTATTTTTTTTACACCTTACAGGCTAAACAAAGTTTCAAGTTTGAAATTAATCAACGAAAGCTGTAATATCATTATGCATTTTCTTTAGAAACAACAGCAAATAACAGAAGTAGAAAAGTTGCATCAAAAAATACTGCAGAAAATACTGCACAATATCAGTGTAATGAGTTCAATGCAATACCTCGGCTCCAGAGAAACTGTCCAACATATTTTTTTAGAATGTAATAAATATACTCAGGAAAGAGAGATGTTGCTTAGAGAGTTAGACAGGAATAAAAATAAACTACATATAAGGGAATTGTTTCAAATGTCATCTGGGGATGTAGTTTTTGGTAGTAATTTTTTATTTTCTAAGAAGAACGGGTATTTTAGGGAGAATATAATAGTTTTTCTGGTCCATACTCCATTCTGGAAGGTGGCGGTAATGCACCTATAAGTTGTTTGCCAACCGCCATTAAAAAAAAGAAGAAAAGAAGGAGGCCGGCTTGTTTTGTTTTTATGACCGAAATTGCGGAAAACAACTCGTGAAGTTTGACCCGCTAGAAAAGCGAGGTGCGCGAGAACGCTGGGACCTTTTTTCCAGCTGAATCTCCGCTCTTTTTGCCCTCATGTCCCTTCGTCGTCGGACTAAACTCGCCCCCACTTCCTCATCGCCTCGGCCGTTTCTAGACCCACAGTGTGTAGCTCAGACCACGCTTCAATACTGAGCATAATTTAAAAATGTGTGTGTGAAGCTTGCTGCAACAAACTGCTGTAAGAGTATAACCAGGAAGCGCGGTAGGAGGGCAAAATAGGTTTAGCGGCACCGCAGCACGGGAGGGAGAATTATGCCCAGGAGCAAATGGATAAAAATAGACCGGAGGGAAAAAAAACATGAATCGATTATCTTACGGACGTATCGATGCATCGGATCGTCGGCTTTTGGATCGATGCATCGATACAAAACGATTATTATTTACACCCCTAGTAGGTAGGTAGGTAGGTAGGTAGGTAGGTAGGTAGGTAGGTAGGTAGGTAGGTGGTTTTCATTAGATAATAATATTACTCTAGGTGTGATTTTTTTTTATTGATAACGTCCATTTAATCTCAGTCTGATTGAGACTACAAATTCAGGAATTAAGGGGTTAATAATAATAATAATACATTTTATTTAAAAAGGCGCCTTTCTGGACACTCAAGGTCACCGTACAAAACATAAAAAGTGTCAGAAAAAATAAAAATTATAATTATAAAAACATTTAAAAACATTTAAAAATACAGAGGCTGTGACAGTGAAATTTATATTTTTAAAGAGAATAAGCAATCTTGAACAGATGGGTTTTGAGTTGTATTTTAAAATGGAGAATTGAGTCCGTATTTCGAAGTTGGGGTGGTAGAGAGTTCCAGAGGCGGGGGGCAGAGCGGCTGAATGCTCTGCTCCCCATGGTGGTGAGACGGGCGGAGGGGACAGACAGGTGCAAAGCAGATGAGGATCTAAGAGCACGGGAGGGGGTGGGAACATGCAGGAGGTCTGACAGATATGGGGGGGCAAGATGGTGAAGTGCCTTGAAAGTCATCATGATAATTTTATATTGAATGCGGAACTGTATGGGGAGCCAGTGGAGCTGTCGGAGGACCGGAGTGATGTGGTGGATAGAGGGAGTTCTTGTTATGATGCGAGCAGCTGAGTTCTGGACCAGTTGTAGTTTGTGGAGTGATTTCTGAGGAAGTCCAAAGAGGAGGGAGTTGCAGTAATCTAGTCGGGAGGTGACAAGGCTGTGCACAAGTATGGCAGTAGTGTGTGGGGTAAGGGAGGGACGGAGGCGGTTGATGTTTCTTAAGTGGAAGTAGGCAGACCGGGTAATGTTATTTATATGGGATTGGAAAGATAGTGTGCTATCGAGGATGACACCCAGACTCTTAACCTGGGGGGAGGGGGAGATGGAGGAGCTATCAATAGTGACTTGGAAACTGTCGGTTTTGGAAAGAGTTGATTTGGTACCAATGAGGAGAACCTCGGTTTTACTACTGTTTAATTGAAGGAAGTTGTTGGTGAACCAGGCCTTTAATTCACAGATGCAATTTCTGAGGGAGGTGGGCGGAAGAGAGGACGATGGCTGCGTGGTGAGGTAGAGCTGGGTGTCATCAGCATAGCAATGGAAGTGGATGTTGAATTTACGGAAGATATTGCCAAGGGGAAGGAGGTAGATGATGAAGAGCAGAGGCCCCAGAACAGAGCCCTGGGGCACTCCTGAGGTGACGGGGGAGGGGGTGGATTTGAGGGTCTTCAGTTGAATGAACTGAGTGCGGTCAGAAAAATAAGAAATAAACCAGTCCAACGGAGTGCTCGTGATGCCAATGGAAGAAAGCCTACTGAGGAGGGTGGTGTGACAGATGGTGTCGAAGGCTGCACTCAGGTCGAGGAGGATGAGGATGGTGAGTAGTCCAGAATCAGATGCCATGAGGAGGTCATTGGTGATTTTGATGAGTGCTGTTTCAGTGCTATGGAGTGGCCGGAAACCAGACTGAAATTCTTCATACAGGCTGTTGGCACATAGGTGAGAATGGAGTTGGGAGGCAACTGTTTTTTCAAGAATTTTGGAGATGAAGGGTAAATTGGAGATAGGACGGAGGTTGTTGAAGTTGGTGGGGTCGGCACCAGGTTTTTTTTACAATCGGGGTGATGGCAGCAGTTTTGAGAGGTGTAGGGACAGTTCCAGTGGTGAGGGAGGAGTGGATGATAGCGGAGATGAGGGGAGCCAGAGAGGGAAGGCAGGTTTTGACAAGTTGTGTTGGGAGGGGGTCCAATTGACAGGTGGATTATTTGGATTTCCGGATGAGCTCTGTGATTTCCGAGACAGTGGGAGGATGGAAGGAGGAGAATAAATGTGTAGGCGGGGGGAGATCTGCTGAGTTGTTGAGATGAGCCGTTGATCCAAGGTTCTGGTGAATGTTCTTGATTTTTTCTGTGAAGTATGACATGATGTCATTGCAGAAGGAGGTTGTGTAAAGGTGCAGGGGGAAAGGGTCCTGGGGTTTGATGGTATTGTTAAGTATAGAGAAAAGTGACTTAGAGCTCTGTTGATTGGCAGTGATTAAGTTGGAGTAGTACTGTGATTTGGTGCTGGCAATGGAGTCCTTATAGTGCATAATGTGATTATTGTACATTTCTTTGTGTATAGTAAGACCAGTTTTTCTGTAAAGTCTTTCAAGTTGCCGTCCTTTGGTTTTCATGTTTCTGAGATTTGGGGTGTACCAGGGGGAGGAGACAGAGAAAGAAACAAATCTATTTTTTAGAGGAGCAAGTGAGTCAAGAATATTATGGAGACCAGTGTTGTAATGAAAAACCAGATCATCAGGGGTTAGTAGATTATTGAAGTCAAGGAGGCAGGATGAGTGGATACTTGAAATAAGGGTGGAGGGATCAATTTTCTTTATGTTCCGGAAGGATATGAGGCGGGATGTTTTAGAGACTGAGAGAGTAAGATTAACTGCAAATGAGAGGAGAAAATGGTCACTTATGGGGAGTTCATCAGATGTTATGTTGTGGGGGATGACACCAGAGCAACAGATTAAATCCAGAATATGTCCTTTGGTGTGTGTGGGGGTAGTGGTGTATTGCTGACATCCAAAACTCTCTAGGCAGGAAGTAAAGTCTTTGGTAAGAGGCGAATTGGTGTTGTCCATGTGGATATTGAAATCACCCAGCAGAATTAAGTTTGGTGAGAGAGAGGATAGGTGGGTGAGAAAATCAGCAAACTCAGTTAAAAAGGCACTATTCGGTTTTGGGGGGCGGTAGACAGCAGCAATGATGGTTGGAGTTGGACCAGATAGCTTGCAGACTGTGGATTCAAATGTGCTTGAAACTGGAGCTGATACCGGCGAGACTTTCCAATTCTCGCGATGAATTATCGCGAGACCTCCTCCGCGACCGGAACCACGGGGTTGAGAGATGTAAACAAACCCACTAGGAGTGGAATCGTTGAGCTGAGAGTAATCTTGGGGCTGTTGCCAGGTCTCGGTTAAGCAGAGAAAGTCCAGTTTACGGTCAGTGATGAGATCCTGAATGAGATGTCCCTTGCTTGTCAGTGAACGGATGTTGAGCAGAGCAAAGTTGAGTGCGTTGTTGTCGCAGCTGGTGGTGGTGCTAGCCGACCGAGCTAGGCGGGCTAACACGCTGTGGTCGACAGCCCGGCTGGTGGAGCATGGAGGGCGACGAATCCACCGTCGGGAGCTGGACCAGATGGATTTTATTGCTGTTGAACCGTTGCGGTGGACAATCCGACGGGAACCTCGGTGGATGTATCTCCGACGTGGCTGGAAGGTGATGTCCGGGTGAAGGTGGAGAGCCTCGGGCGCAGGTCCAAGGGAGTGACAGCGGAGCCGGAGCAGGTCAGCGGGTGAATACTGCAGCAAACCCGCCACTTGCAGGTGAGCGGGCAGTAGGAATATCCAGATACAGACAAGCAGGGTGTATGTCCTGCCGGTCCACATTATTAAAAACGCCAGGTGAGGCTGAAAACGAGGCAGGACAGGTGAGCTACTGGTAGTAGCCTAGTTGGGACTCACACAGTCCTGTAGTG